CCACCCCCCCACACCTATAACGTTTCTAATAGTCCGTACTTAAGTTCATGGAATGAATTCGGCTCCACAAAAGGAAAGAGCATGACTCCAAAGAGAATTAATAAATAATAATAATAATAATAATAATAACGAGAGCTTTAAAACAAAACATAGCACGTTTCGTATCAATAACCGAGCCTGATCCATTTTCCTTGTTTTTACACATTGAATACTGTAATTACCAATGTAACAAGACGTCCTTGTAACACCCGTAAAAAAAATCTACGAATTTAGCATCAAAAACCACAAGGGAGACTACTACGGAAATGCTAAACGTATAAAGTAACCGGTCCCAGTTCTTCAAAAAGGGAGGAAAATGCTATCCACTGGATAAATTTCTACAATGGATAGCGCAATTTGTTTTCCTAGTAACTATCCATTAGACAGACATTATCCGGTGGGCAGCGTTATCCAACTTTTGAACACAAAACGAAATTACATTAAATTAAAATAAATTAACATAAATTAAAAATCACAACTTTAAGGCATCGCATCAGTAGGTGTTTTTTTTTTTACAAGCGTGGTCGATGAGAAACAAGGCTGTATTTTAAATTATTTACGCGCAAATATGCATGGGTAAAAAAGAACAAAAGAACCCAATACGGTTAAGATAAGTATGAAAAAACATAAATATAATACAACGTAACTAAATTATACCCTGCACATGAGAGGCTTTTCAGGGCTTATAAAATAACATTGCACTTAAAGCAATTAAAAATAAAATTAAACAATTTAAAATTAGAATGAACAAGTTAAATCCTCAAATTAATGTCAGGCATCCAATAAGTTTGTTTAGCAACTGCACCTATAAATTGAGCGATGTTTGAACGCGGGAGCAGAAGATTTCGAGTCCAACGCCTCAAGCACCGATCACCCAGCTTCTCGGCGGACCATACTATTATGGTCATAGTATAACCATGGATCCAATATGAAACAAGGCACCCAGTAGGACGACACGACGACGTCATTAGGTGATGTCACTTCAGCTCAGCTTTTCGCTTCCATTCTTATTGTGTTGTGAACTGCACAGTCATAGACGCCTTCCTCACAATTACTTGCTTATGTCCTCCTCAGATGCTAGCCGTCTAAAACAAACGAATTGACAATACAGTGTTTATACGAGACTTCGGCTTAAATGTACCGTTCAAAAGTACACCAAGACCGCGTCCTAGGCTAAATTTACACTACAGGAGATTGTTCCGGATTCATAAATGGTTCCGGATTTACTACATGTATGGTATGCGGATTCGCAGCCATTCATACTACAAACGTGTTCGGATTCCCAACCGTTAACACACATCGATATATCCTGCGAACTTTAGCAACGAAGACGGCGACAAAAACAAAAACGAATCCCGATATTGCCTTTCGTCAACAATTAAACGGGGTTTTCGAGCACAAAAGCGCAGGTTTTCGACAGACGATAACGGAGGTTTTGGAATACGATGATGTCATACATCATCCAGCGCATGCCCTGTAAGGGATGATATAAGTGTATTTCCATGATTGTTTTAGCGTTTTCGTGTTAACGGGTGAATCGATTTGAATACGCTACGTGGGGACGCGTATTCTTTCGAAAACGAAGGAAAAAATCTTTGTTTTCGTGTGGATGAGGCCTTAATAAGCAAAACAACAAATTTTACAGGTGCAGCACGCTTTTTGGTGTATTTCTTTGCTGCACGACCACGACGTGAAATTTACTTCTGAGACGTTCTTTGGAGGGCGTAAACGCCCCACGACGAATTTTTTTCTTTTTCCAAACTGTTTGAGTGCGGTGCCCACGGAATTCAACTCCAAGACAATGAAATAACATTTGCCATTTTAAGCGAGTTAGAGTAAACGCCAACAAATTTGAAAAAAAGAACATTCATTTTAATAGTGACGTTTTCGCTGCCCTCGCCGTTCGCCCTATATTCATCAACGTGACACTTCCGTTTGGTTTTTAGGCAAATTCTTGTGATCCAAGGCGGAAAAGTATCGGATTCGTTGTAAGAATTGTTTACACTACGAAACATTGCGAATTTAAAGCTAATCGGATACAAAATCTCCGGAGAATTGACCAAACCGGGACGCTATTATTTCGGATTTACGCATCTGCGCGTAAACGACAAAACGTCCTTTGTGGTAAACATATGACCACAAAGTATTTTAAACGTTTAGTCTTGGTATCGTCACTTGGTGTTACATAACATGGAACTTATGAAAACGGGCCGCTTTCTAACAGGCTCCTTTGTGTTTGCAAACCAAGTGCACCATTTTCCATATATTAAAATTCATGCTGGGTGCCGAGACTTGGGGGAATAAAACAAAAGAAATCATCTTGAGGCTCAGCAATGAATAATACATTTATTTTGTTTTTATTCCCCCAAGCCTCGTAGCCAAATATGAATTTTAATATATCGAAAATGACCTACCACACTTCTACGGGAATTTATCATCTTCTGGATTTAACATGCACCGCAATCGTAGGGAGCTAAAACTCAAGCAGACGGGATTTTCCCTAGAAAGGATCGTATTTTGTTGTTGCTGTTGTTGTTGTTGTTGTTGTTTGGTTTTGTTTTCTGCCTTTTATATCTGTATCAGGTTCCTCCCCGCGTTACGACTGTACTCTCCTTGTCAGCGGTTACACCTGACCGAAACAAAGCTGTCCGCCAAAAAGTATCAACCACTAAGGCTATGTTCACACTATCCCAGATAGCCCAGTTTGCGCTGCAACGAAAACCATACCGGATAGAACTACTGATCACGCATAAGAACGGCGATTTCCGGGCGAATTTTGTAACGGAGCGAAGCTACGCCGCCCCGTTCTCTAAGTGAAGAGTCAAACTTCGGACGGACATGTTTCCATACTGTTGTGGAGGCGTGTGTGGCCGAGTGGTTAACACCTCATGATCAGACTCCGGATCTGGAGGTCCGGAGTTCAAGCCCCGCCCTTCTCGTTGTTTCCTTGGACAAGGAACTTCACTCCACTTTGCCTCTCTTCACCCAGGTGTATAAATGGGTACCGGCGACGTACTGCTGGGGGAGTAACGCGAAAAGCTATCCGGCACAGTATGAAAGGTAAAGGTAAAGGCGCACACAAGCCAAAGGCCCAAACAGCCGGAGCTTATTCCGGTTTCATTAGTTTGAAGCACCTAGGAGTATTGCTACTCCCCCCTGGACGGGATGCTGGTCCATCGCAGGGTTACTCCCCCAGTAGTATGTCCTGGGGGGAGTAGCAATACTGCTAGCTGCTTCAAACTAATGACACCGGAATAAGCTCCGGCCGTTTGAGCCTTTGGCTCGTGTGCGCCTTTACCTTTACCTTTCATACTGTACCGGGTAGCTTCTCGTGTCTACGCAAAAAGTTATCCAGTATAGAGTGTTTTCACATGACGTCACGGCGGCCATACTGGTGTCCCAAAACAATGAAACGGCGACCATGTTGGTGTCCCAAACCAGTCCCCTGGGAGTTGAACTCCTTTCTTATGCAAACGCTTTCTTTTGTTACAATAAATTTGCATATATGCTGACCACGTGAGTGAAAACACTCTATATTGTGAACATAGCCTAAGGATGTGATAGAAAGTCTTCTGGGAAACAGTCAGTTTTTTTATCATACATCATCTATATCATTCCAACACAGTATCGTTAAAAATACCCTGATAATAATTTAGGGAAGGGATAACACCAACAAATGTTGTTTCGCCACCAGAATTCCTTTGTGTCGCAACATTTACGGCTTTATGTTTTTTTCTCCAATAGGTAACGCAATAGGGTGTATTCTACCTCTCAAAAGGTTCTTAAGTTTCTTAGGGGAAACAGGAACCCAACTTATGATGAAAAAATAACAGTAACACTGAATCACAGAACACTGGGATAATTGAGGCAGGAGACATAAGTTCTAGAATGTTGACTGATCACTTACAACCTTTTTTTAACATTTGCATTTAAAATGTTATTCCAGTGTGCATATCACACGAAATTAAAAATTCATTCTTTAGTAACCGTGGGCACAAAACTAGCAAAAATATTACCTTGGATCATACTCCACATCTTCTCAACAAGGGCTCGACACTGCTCTTCCCAGTTGTACTTCGCTTCATAACTAGTTCGCAGGGCTTGGACGTCTTGAAGTCGTTGTGATCTCCTTTTTCGGCGAACAGCGGCAATTGCTTTCGCCCATTTCTTGGGGTCATCAAAATTTACCAAAAAAGATTCTCCTGATGGTAAATCGCGCAGCACGTGGGCAAATCCAGAATTGCCACTCACCAGAATCGGAACACCAGCAGACAACGCCTCCAAAGCTGTTAATCCAAAACCTTCTGTTCTGGAAGGCATAATGGCAAGATCAACCTCACAAAACAACTCTTTTAACCTTTCCTTGCTCTGCACAAACTCTCTCACAATCAGCTGATCTTTAGCGATTCCAGTCTGGAGCAAGTGTTGGGCGACTTCGTCTTGTTTCCCAATGGGAGCGCCCACGAACACCAGGCAGTAAGAGCTATCTTTCAATTCAACCACTGCTTCGGCGGCAATGTCATATCCTTTGAGACTAAAGTCTTCCGAATCACCGCGGCCAAAGGTTAACACCTTAAACTTTCCTTCTTCCATTGTAGCTTGTTCCAGCATTGAAAATTCATGGAATATACCAGGAGTAAGCTGAAAGATATATTGGTGTTTCTTACAGAATCGAAGGTAGGAGGAATAGACCTCTCTCAATTTGGACCCGACTGTAACAACAAGATCCGACAGTGTGCACAAGTCCACTTCAGCTCTGTTCTTCTCTTCACCTCTGCCTCTTGCTCTAGCATAATCCTTGAACGCTCCAAGTTCCTCAGGTGCGGTGTGAACTACCTGTACCCACTTACAACCGTGAGACGTTTTAATTAGTTGGGCATGTTTTCCCAACTTTGCCCCATGGCCCACAATGATGTCGATGGTAAGGTCTCTTGGAGGATTTCTCAACCAGTCTAGGGGATCATCAAACCCTGGGAGAGGCGGTACTTCTCTAATAGCAATGTTGTAGCTTTCCGCATCTCTCTTTTCTTCCTCACGACATTCAAATTTTGGAACTAAGAAAGTGACTTTGACTAGGTCGTGTTTCGCCAACTGAATGGCGAGCTCTCTATTGATAGTTGACAAACCACCCATAGATGAACCCCACTCACTGGCCAACAAAGTAACATTTAGTGGTTTTGCAGAATTCTCTGAATCACTTTCGACATCTCCGACTCCTCTTGTTGCAACTGATCTAGAAAGATTCAAGCCCTTGTAGAAGCAAAATAACCACTATTAAAAGAGCACACACGTCAATATTTACTTACCTCTTGCAACGAACTGAAATATAAAACTACCAGCTAATCGTTGCATTAAGACGGGGGTGGGGGGGGGGAGAAATGCTTCATATCCAAAAATGCTTTCAAAACACATAAGTGCTATCACACCAGTCTCGGAACCCCCAAAAAAATACAAAGAAGAATGGTTGGACAAAGACTTGAAAGTAATTCTTGTCGCTTTCTGTACTTTGACTTTCGTATAAACAGAAAAGAAGAAAAAAATGTTACTCTTGTTATCAGCCGCCCAGTTTAAAAGCCGTAGTATTGATCTAGCGAAGTATAGATGTTGAAATCCATTACCAGCCACCTAAGAAGAACACTCCTTGAAGCGAAGTCAGTGACGTAAGGGGCTAATAGACCTTTCTAGCGTGTACGTTTTGTTTTCCCATTTCAGACCAGGTGATGGTGTGTTACCCCAGAGAACTGTTTCTTTCAAAGGTGCAAATGTATGCATAATTTATGAAAGGACAAAAACAATTTCCTTTCAGAACATCACGTGGTCTAAATTGGGAAAACAAAACATACAAGCTTAAAAATTATTAAAGTGATCAGAAAATTACTCTACTTTGTAATGTTCTAAGTGAGATTATTGACTATCAAGCTAGAACCTTGCTTAAGTTTTGCTGCACTAAAATACTCTCTCTTCCAGCAATAGTGCAGAAGGGATTTCCGTGTATAACATGGTAGAAACTGCTTTTCAATTTACAAAAAGGAACTTATTAATATCGTCTCACTAAGCAAACAATATCAAGCCATGTTACTTTTAAACGAAGGAAAATATGCCATCACCTAAAAACAACAAAGCTATACCTGATTTCTTAGTGACAACCACTTCTCCATTCCAGGGACCGTTTTCACGCACCCACGAGGGACCTTTGTGCAAATAAAACGCTGTCCCTTTTTTAATGCAAAAAGGTGCAAACAGTCTTCATGGGGACATAACGCTTGTTGATGGTTTGGACAATCAGCCAGACAGTGGGGACAGGCAACACATAATTGATGCTGCAATCCACTGAGGCATGGCAGTTCGTTAGACAGCATTTGTAAAACTTCTTCTATGAACATACAGACACGTCTGGCTATTGCAGCTAATTCTGCCTTTGAAACGATTGAATCTTGTTTTCTTTGCTTAAGAACAATCTTGATGAAACTCTTCTTGCAAAGAAGAATGAAATCACAGACTACCTGTTTTCCAACAACAAACCAAGCACCATTTCGGTAGAGGCTAGGGGGTTCTGTCTTCCATGTCTTACAGCACCAAGAAATGAACCTTGACACCAGCTGTGTGAAGAGACCGTGGGGAACAAACCCACCGGCAAAGTGAAGATACAAGGGACATGGGTCAGAAGGGGATGGCTCCAGTTTGCAAATGCTTTTGGGTGTGGTCTTGAGCTGAGCAGGTACAAAGTACTTAGTACTGGTGGCCGTGGACGTATACTTTGCTATCAAACCGAACTGCTCCATCATGTCTAAGATGTCTTCCTTTTCAACACGTTGGCTTTTAAATTTCGAAAAAACATGTTCAACAAGCTCCATTTGAAGGATACCACTTTCTTCCACTTCACGCCAGCACTGAGAATAGAGAGGGTCCTAACATGAGAAAGCCATGCAAAATTGTCAAGATGAGAAATATCTACAAAGCATTTACTCTACATCTATACTTCTCACTGCCAAGACCATCCAAAACATTATTATTGCATAAAAATGCCAAATTCCGATTGCTATAATACTGAAAACCAATAGTTTCACATAAAGTACTCATCAAGAGCCTAAGTTAAAATGGTCCAATTGAATATTATTTCACCCAGACACTAGCTCAGAGCCGCCGTACTTAGCTATTGCCACTGACAATTTTGTTCGTTTGCTTGCTTTGTCTGGTTGTATACATACAGCTGTTTCGAAAAAGGTTGTCGGAAAAAGTGCACGCGACAATCCCGAAAGGTATTGTGGGTGGTTTTTAGTTCATTTTTTTTCAAATAAATTTCAAAGAATGGCACGAGAGGCCATGGACGTATGTTTGCTAGGGCTAGAGGAAAGCAACAAAAGTAGGCTCGACAGTTACACTGTCAAGAACAAGTGTATTGATCATATCCCATATTACCTTTCGGGATTGTTGCGTGCACAGTTTTTGCGACAGCTGTATATACAGCAGAACGCCGATACCTCGAACTCGGATAAAGCGAAATCCCCGCTAACTCGAACTATGTTCCATTTTTCTTGGATTTCACCCCAAGTTTCAGTCATTTTCACTCGGTTACCTCGGATAAAACTCTAATTCCCCGCTAACTTGGACTCAACTTCCTTTCCCTTGATTAAAATTTCACTGAAATTCACCCTCAATAACTCGAACTCTGGTTCTTGTAACCCACCCGCAAGCCATAACGTATAATCTGTAAAAACACTACGCTAACACAACAGCAATTTGAATTTAATTGGTGCAATGACAATATCACGTTTTATCATAAAAATGCACAATCATGCGACCGTTTCTGATGAAATAAGTTAAATTTGGACTGTACTATAGTCCTTTTTCATAATAACGGCCCATTTATTTGTTCTTTCATATGTATTTAACTGAGCCCTTCTGGTCGCGCGTGAAAGTAAGAATTATTTTGTATTTTGCACATGCTAACGAGGTCAGAGAGGCTAATTATCATACAATCATATAAAAGAATATATTAATAGACCGCCATCATGAACGAGGTCTACAAACTGAAGTGCTGGAAAATCAGTAACTATCCATTATTAACATGGGAAATTGAATAGTCAATCGATCCAGATAACCCCGGCTACCTCGAACTGTTTTTCGTTTCCCTTCCGCGTTCGAGTTACCGGGTTCTACTATATATGCATTTCTCAAGGGGTAATATTAATACCAAGATTTGGTGGTCTTTTATGAGAGGTTCCAGCCATACTGATTTGATTCACAAAACTGATTTTGGTATTTGGGACAGGAGAGGTGGTCAGGAGAGGTGGTCATTACGAGAGACGGTTGCACGAGAAGGTTCGACTTTAATTTTCTAAAAAATATATATTATAAATGAATATATATGAATCTCAGAAGAAATAATATAGAAGAACTCTGTAACGGGGCTTTCCTCTGTTCCACTTATGGTGATATCCTTTGATAACGAATTCAACAGAATATAACAGAGGAATTGAAACACTTGTACCTAGTAAGCGCGATCGAAACACCAGGTTTATCAAACGTACAAAAATGCCAAGAAAGTAGCCGCGGGCTACTGGCAAAGTCATCAGGTTCAATGAGATTTTTTCTGTGAGAGTTTTTGCTTTCTTTCCTTTACGTTTCAATGTGCACTGCAGAAGACGTACTGTTTTGCGACTGTGCCGTTTCTCTGAACTGTTTTCGTTTTATTCACCATTATACATGGTCTTTCATTTTTCCATCACGTTAATAGCATTTTCCTCTTCTGACAGGCCTAGCCAGATAGATATTTCAAAAATGTTTTAACAATTCACAGTCATTCGCGTTTTAATCATTCTAAGCAAACCCGGGGAAAGGCGTTGATCATTGTTTTTAGCCATTACTTTACCTAAGTTCGAGTCTGTAATCTTATTTTTAAATTGCATTAGAAAACTCCCGTCAGGAACATTGTCACGCCTACTTATCAATTTATGCGATTGGAGTAACTCAGTGCGGACCCAGTACCCAAGCAAGTGAGAAATTCCTGTACTTTGCGCAAAAAGCGATTCACTTTTGAACTTCCCACGCGTAAGCAATGAAAAATGTTCGAAAAGGCATTACAAATACTGCAAAGAAAAGTATCTTCTACTTGCCATGATACGTAACTATGAAAAAAAAAAAAACATTTAATCCGTATGATAATTCAGAAATTAAAAAGTCGTCGCACCACAAGCTCTTAACGTTGAAGTTTGACGCAAAAGTAATAGCAAATAAATAAACACTCCCACTTCATGGCCACTATACTTCTGCATACATAGGCTGATTTTAAAGTAGGGTCGGCAAAACGAATATGAGGCACCAAACCTTACATCGCATTTTAGGCTTTCTAAAAAAACTTAGGAAATAGATTTTTCAATTTTTCGTGAGTCTATTGACCATCGCCGAGCGTTTGTAAAGCCCTTCTTAAGATAATATGAGAGAGGGTATCTTAAAGGGGTTACGTATGTCCCAAGTCTGAATTTCAAAACCCGTCGTTTCGCGTGGTGAGTAGTGATGAATATGTCCCTGTCGGTATTTTGCGACTGTATTTGAGCTTTTCTTCGTCGATGTCGCATTTTCAACCCTTCTTTCTATCGTTTGTCGTCATTTCATCTGTCTTAACATGTCGCTTTTCTCAAGGCCATGTCGTCTGTCGAAAATTTACCTTAGCAGGGCCTTATTAGGGGCCAGCAAATATCTGAATTAAAAATTACTACTACTGAGATCATTATTGCCTCACCACCGGACATCACAAATACGTACCGCTTTGTCAAAACGGGGAATGGTAATCAGTTGTCTAAACAGGTCTATCAGCCATCGTGCGTCCAGAAAAACCGTGTCGCGGTGCTTTACAATTAATCCAAGGTCGTGATAGAAATTCAACACTGTGTGAAACTCGTCCTCATCTGTTATGAAGCAGACTTTTTCGGCGATGGTTTGAAGTCTTCGCACATTTATGTGACGAAAGCTTTCAGCTACCAAACAGTCGATTACTGTTTCGAAGGTCAGCCATCTATTAATCATAAAAAAGGTGTCACAAACAAACTTCAAAAGCTTAGTTAGAAGATATGTTATTACACAGCGTCTAGATTTCGAGTAACAAAATAGAGTGGCATCTGTATTACGGGGTCTCCTTTTCAGCGACCAGTTATTAGAGTCCAATTAATCAAGTAATTTTGCCCTGCTGATTACCAAAATTAATTTTAAAAATGCCCTCCTCGTTAGTCAATCACGATTGAGTAATTTTTCTTTCTATGTTACAGTCAGTAACACATCAACATCTCATTAAGGGTGAGCAAAATGATCATAACTGACGATAGCTGATTAAGGTCTTAACTATCATGCGCTAATGCTATCATGGCTCGTGGTCAGAAGGTCCATAATAACCTGTGATAGTCCATGAAATTTCCAAGATGGCGACACTGAACCACCGAGGAAATGACACACTAGGTTGTTTTCGAAGTTTTAAAGAATTTTAAAGACGAAGCTATTTAGCGATGCACTGAAAGGGAAATCCTCTCAGGTCGGTAAAATCTGCAAGTGTGATAATGCAGGTGAGATGAACTGAACATGTGACTTGGAGTTCCATACTTTATAAAAGTACACTGCCTATGTGATACGCAAAAAAGGTGGGTGTCCGTTTCAGTTACCAAGGAAACATGTTTTAGATAAACAAATCTCAGGTTTGAAAACTCTTTAACTTTAATTGCAAAAATAGTGAATGTATAAGATGAAGATGCATTAAGTCGACAGTTCACTTGGATGACCTTATTTTCGATGTAAACACAAAAAGTGCAGCAGGTTGAGGTTCTGATACTCTTCTGCTTGTCATTCAAGTCACCAAAAATACTTTTAAAAGGGCTCGAAAGACCTCAAAGCAGCATAATTGGACGTTTTGGGTTAGCCTGAAAAGAATCTTGTGTCAAACAATAACAGAGAGGGAAATATATGGCTAAGATAGATAAACAATGACAGTGAATAATGAGGACGCTCACTTGAAAACACAAATCTGGGGGAAAAATTGGTGACATTTGAAGTCCCGTTAATTGCCTTCCTTGTTTTCAATGTCCTTGAAACTTGGAGGCGATATAAATTGATGACTAATTTCGGGATTGTCAAGTTTTTTAAACAAATTATCCATCGGTTTGTAAATTACCGTGAAATTTGTAGGCGTGGACCAAATTACATACAAAAATGGTGAAGAAAGCAGCTGCCGAACGTATGCTAATCAAATTCTCCTTTCCCGCAATCGGCCGAAGTAATCCCCGTCGTCTATTTTCGTAGACAGTTTCAGATGGAATCAAACCGTTATAAGATGAAACTGCATTTTCAGAACTCATCCTTTTCTTTAGATATTAGTAAATTATGCCGATGGCATGTTTATTCGCTGTTTTTACGACCCTTAAACCTTGTTCCAAATTATTTCTAAAACGCTCTCATAGAATTTGTTCAAACTTTGCCATAATGGAGGCAACTATTAAAGGGAGGTACAAGTTCCCTTAAGCCACTTCTGAAAAAGACTCCTGGTACCGAGTGATAGAAAGAAAAGTAAAAAACGAAACGGCGTCATTACGTTACCACAGCAACTGCGATGTCAATAAAACATGGATCATAATAAATTTTCATCTTTATACAGTACAGCCTTTCTTAACCTTTTTCCGATATTTTTGTTAATGCCGACTTAGTAAACGCTCAAAGTGGGGAAGTATATTTCCTACAAAATGTGGTCGAGCCACCTTAATTTGAACTTATCATTGTGAATTTTCAAATGCTATCCATGAATACCGTTTTGCAAAAAATTCGTCATACATATGTATGTATTTTTGTAGGTGACTTCGTCGTCTTACGTGGTTTGTTAGGTGGCTCGGCACATTTCGGAGGGCAGCCAAGCGTGGTAATTCACGCGTGATGCTTGGGACTGTTTGTTCTAAACAAGAGACAGGAAAATAGGAAATCCCAGAGCACAAAATGACATCGCTTCAATATTCACTCAACTATGAGCGTACGTCAAACGAATTCACAAGTTTTCAACGGATGTGAAATTCAAAGATTATATAGTGCACTAATTATTGAGTGTAACCCTGAAAACGTTTAAAGAAAATCAATTATATTTAATCGCTGTTTATGTGAGTGAAGCCTTGGAAACAATGCAATGCTCAATATTGTGTTTTACTCAGCCCGATTCATATATTTTCGTGTGTTTCGAAATCGCTTAAGTCTACCTGGTTTCAGAGGTTTGGAGAAAGTACACGGGAAAAGAATGAGTGGTATAAACTTTCCGGAAACATCCAAAAAGTTGTTCGCTAAATTCCAGTCTTTAGTTCACGCATAAAATATACCCGGCTATATATAAAATATCTCATAATTTCTCAGCTAGATTTTTGTGAAACTTCGCACAGCAAAAGAAAAGCACGCAAAGTAGACATAGCATAGGGCATTTTTGAGAAAATGGAGGTAAGAGCTAAAAATCGGTCAAGAGTTAAAACAATTGTGAAGTCATTACTACGTGATATTCACTCCGATCGCAAAAATGATAATATCAAAATATAGATCAGTCTATGTGTAATCTATGCGCTATAATGGATTTACAATAAAGATCAGTTTGTTTAGGTAAAAGAAGTTCAAAGAGGGAAGGTGAGCCCCCAAAAGACTGGGTTGAGCCAACACACAAAATTATCAGTGCATGCACCTGTAAAAGTCACTCTTTTCCAAGACGTGTCTTTGAAAGCGTTCTTCCGGCTGAATCAGTCGTTTCCAGTCGCAAGATGCGCCATAAAAAGTTCGAGTTCAACATAGAGGTATAAATCTTGATGAACTCCGCCAAAAAAAGTTGTGTTTAAGTGTAAATGACGCGTAGCGCCTCGAGAGCGGGCACTAACTTTCTTCAGCAAGCACCTAAGGGTAAATTGGATAAGGCTACTTGACACTCAGTGGCCAAGTAGTTCAAAGCCCAAGTAGCGGTTATCCTGGGTTCGCTACAAACAGGGCATATCAGTTGTCATGGTAACTAACCCCCGATTTGCACTAATTGGCTTTCAAACAACTCGACTCAGAGCGCACATTATACGTTTGCTGTGTTACAAATCGTTTTTCATTACACCACGTGATTCAACCTCATTCCCAGGGTCCTCTCCTACCCAACGGGTAGGAGAGAGAACCCGGGAACGAGGTTGCACGTGATTTTGCTTTATACTAAATTCTAAAAGCCTAAAAGACCGAGGTGAAATATCCTACTCCACCTGATTGGTATTTTCTCTCCCATGTAAGGCTCCTGTCTCAACACCTCCATGATCCTGTCCCTCAATGCGACAATTCCGTCCCCAGTAGGAACAGAAGAGTCACACCCTTATGATACAAATGAAAAGTAACACCAGGTCAGTTACTAGTCAAAAACCAACAGACTCTACAAACAAGACTTAGATTATTTATCCTCGATAAAGAGGCTCCAGTTTGGACATGTTATCCAAAAGTCAACTTAATTGCGCACCGGCTATGAAAAGTTGTCAGACTTTTCTCAACTCCGACATCTCATAAATTTATATTATAGTAATATATAAGTTTTAATCTAAATAGCGCGGCATGAAAAACAGGTTTAAGTTAACGGGCTGTCGATTTCAAGAGAGTTATTGAAAGCAACTCTAAGTTCAGGTGATGCTGGTGCAATAAATTACCACTTCGCTACTAAATAAAGGTTTACGACTGCATGTGGCTACTAGTTTAAAAATACGCATTATTGTATTAGAAATACGTGTCTCACAAAACCTCACGAAGGTCAGGAAAAGAACCAACTTAGGAATAACAGGGAAAACGCCACGAAAGAAGAAAACAAAAACAAAAACGTGTACTAAGCGGGAGTTGAACTCGGTACGCACACTCGCAAGGTACACGCCGACGCGACAGGGCCTGTCGAGTGACTGTCACAGTAATCTATTTACAGCATTTTTTTCTGTGCAAATAATGCCGGAAAACGCCGTTTGAAGCTAGTCGGGTCGTTACATGGATTATAAAAATAGATTTCAGGAAAATAAGTAAGGTTTTGACAGTAACAAGACGAACTTTAACGCATTTCATTGCACTCGAAGAACATAAGTAAAGCCGGCAGAAGCAAACTCGCCTGCGGAGTGAGAAGCATTACAAACGCTCTCTTGCCACGATTTTCGTTGTTAAACACCTCTGCCGTTGAAATTCCTCGCCAAAGGCCTTTCTTGACTGCTAAAGTAACCGCAACAACAACCGGGCTGAATTGTTTTGTCACGGTATTGGGTATCCCGTGAAAGTTTACGAACGTACGAACTTACAAGACCACGACATTACAACATAGTGGCCTCGCCTTCCCTAAAGGGAAATATTAGCCACAAAAAGGTTCTTTTTCCAGGGTTACCTTTAAGCTCAGGACTCTGCGCAAAATTAAAGCGCTCAATTTACGGCTTTCATGTTGTCATGAATTAAAAGAAATTTCTCGTAACGTTTTTGCTCGTGATGCAAAAATAACAACACATTGAAACAACCAGCTTTCAATCTGCAATCCTCAATTTCAAAAAAATTTACTTGGTTGTTGTACCATTGGTCAGTTTAGACGCATTAGGGTCTGTTTCCCGATTGAGTTCAGTAATAAATGAACGTTTGAAGTTCAAATTACATTTACAACTGATTTTCATAAAAGGACTCTACCTGCTTGTGGATCCGGCCATAACAAATTCTTCATCGGTTTTGTCCAATATTCCCATGGTGACATATTACTCTGTGCGTTATCGCCGCTTAAAACACCTTGTGTGTTATCAATGCTAAAGAGTGGCCGGATCACATGCTGTGCGTATTCCTCGCCTGAAATTCGCTGCTCTATTTGTGATATCATTGTTTTAGTGTCTTCAAATGGTTGGTCTGCATGTGTACCAACAATGAAAACTGGAGGCCGCAGATAAGGCACCTGCCTTTCGCTTTTGTTTTTCTCTTCCCCTCTTGGTTTCAGCTGGTGAACGGTAAAAAGCCAAGACAATAAATTGTCTAAATTGGTTTCGGAGTTTGGGTTCTCCAAAATCACATCATGAGTTCCCTGTCTAACACAGGGTTCAGCCAAGGCATCAAGTGGTTTGCTCAGGTTGTGCACAACAACATAAACAGCTCGTGGTGACAAAAAGACAGGATGGGATGCATAGTACAGGTGCTGTCCTGCAAAATCCCATAAATCCACGACTACCATAGAATCTTCTTTGTTGGCACTATAGACAGCTTGGTGACCTTCACGTAATATTTGCTTAAAACACTTATCAGCATGTTCTGTGACTTCTGCGGGGGGAAGCATTTCCAATTTCTTCAGTAAAAAATCGGCTGCTTCCTTGGAAACATCACCGCCATCACCAGGACAACCTGCCCCATTGCTCTGTTCAGCTGAAATGTTTGCGTCCTTGAGACCATCAGCATCCTTGGCAAACTGAAACTAAATTTTGCTTTATTTCAGCCAACAAGGGGAATTCATGTTTTCACATAATCGTTTTCTCATAAATGTTTTTAATACTTACACTTAAAAATGACTTACAAATCTATAATGAAATGACCTTATTTCACCTTTGCTGAGGGGTATGTGAAAGGGTGTAGTCTTGGTTTCCCGTAGAAAATCAGGGAAAGCAGCCGTTTCGGTCAGAGAGCCCTGAAGGGGTTAAAAGGCAACTGGGATTGGCCTGTTTTTACACGAGGAAAACGGAATTTGTTAATTGTTTACTGGGACTGAGATATTGTTTATTACGAAAGGGCGAAAAAGCACCAAAATGGGAAATGACAATTGTCTTTTCCAGTTGCGGGACGAGTAGGAAAGAAGAGGATCCTGGAAACGAGGTTGAAGGTAACGTTTGCATTATATGCAAAAGCTAAGGTTTCTTAGTAGGAAGCAAGAAGCAGGAAACAGTTCACTATACACATCTCAATTCACATTAAAACCTTGCAACATCAAATGCAGTTCCCTTGGCCTGGCATAAAAAATTCAAACGGCCCACCACACAAAAAGATTAGTAAAATTAGCATAGCAAGCCGAACGAAACGTGCACGTTGGCTGAAATTCACTGTAAATACTGGTGCTAGACAGTACACAGAATGGGCTGAGCGTTGACTTTGCCTATGAATTTGTATGAAACTCAACCGCATCTTCAAACCGTTAAATTTGAATTTGCTGAAAGTCGCCAGGGGCACCCAACGAGGATATAGTTCAAAATCACTTAACATAGCATTGTTAAACGTATTTTAGTATTCAAACGGTAGATATAGGCACATTTTTATCCCCTAAAAACTTTTCATCTGTTCGGATTTCCTAGCTGAAAGTCTGGTGATCCGAAAATTATAGGGATAAAAACTTACCTTCTCGAAAATTTCAGCCAGGAAAAAGGCTCCTGAAAATTCTAGGTGGCCTTTTTTAGGGTCAAAATACGTCAAAAATGGGTAATTATACCATTTTGTATATGTTCGAAAATCCTAGGAGAGGCAGACAAGCAAGAAATTTTACAACAAATGCTCCGAAAATTCTAGATCTCAAATCGTCTTCCGAACAGATATTTCCCGAAAATTGCCGTTGGGTGCCCCTGAGTCGCGGGAAGTATCAAGCGGAACTGATGAGCAACTTGGTTCAAATCATAACGCCAGTGTCAGTTTACCTGCTTTTGAGTCCCCTTACAGTAAACAGGTAAGTAGCTTTAACGTCAATTTAAGGTAGCAGGTCCACGACGACGAAGCAAGCTTTATTATTGTTTAGGAACGAAAACTAATATAAACGTATTATGCGTACTGACACCTAATCTTCGCGAGTCTCAGGTCATTGCTAGCGGGGTCGTTTTTAGAAACCGTCAATCAGCCTAAATGATGATGACTGGCAATAGCTTCCAGCATTTTTTCATAAATATCACCACTAACAAAGGTCCAACCATAGGTAAACAAGTTATGAGCATAACTGTAACCTGTTTAACGCACTACATCTGAGCTGCTTACAGTTTAAAATGATCCCTGATCCGCTGATCCCTCTGCAGGTCGCAAATGACTTCCAGCGGGCTGATTTTTATTTACATCATCGGACTTAAGGCCCGTTTCTCGAAAGTCTAGGTAACGTTTCGGGTCGGAAATCAAATATTCCATAAAAACCTTAAGAATAAAAGCGCGGGTCCTTGTTAAGAAACCACTCCATTTTGTTTTGTTACCTGGTAGTTTTCTGACATTATCTGCGAAGCTATTAATCGCAGACCTTTCGAGAAACAGGCCCCCGCAGAAAATGCTCCACCCAAAAGGCATTCCCATATGATAGGTTTGAAAATTCTAAAAATATAAGCTAGTTTTGGAGAAGATCCTTAGCGGAATTACAAGAGGATTTACAGTCGACTCTATAAAGCGGCCACCCTGTATTTAGCGGCAAGTTACTAGGATGCCGACGTTCAAGGCTTTTAGTAAATCACCGTAATAGAGCCTCTCTTTAGCACCCATTTGTCCCTTCCTCAAGGGTGGCAGCTTAAGAGAGGTTTAGCCTGCGTGGCAGGCGCAAAAAGGGGAGGGGATGGCGAGAAAAGCACGAATCCCAATCCCCCTCCCTTTTTCCCTTTCTCCCTATCCCCTACCCCTTTCGACGCCTACTACGCAGGCTAAGAGAGGTTCTACCGTAGTTCTTAAGTACCTGATTTGTTTCGGAACCGTTATCCACATCCCACATTGCTTTATATTTCGACTCTTGTCTCGGAGATACTCCGTCAGATTCCATTGCTGAATCGTCTCCTTCAGCCAGAATCGAAAGGTACTTTTTCTCAGCGACTACTCTTGCAACACCTCTGGAAACCTCGGACAACAACGTTTTGTTTTCGCTGTTGCAAGACCAGTTTTTAATTCGATCTGCATGAATCTCAAACTTTGAGGGGTCAATTCCGACCGTGCTTTCTTCTTCTGGATCGAATGGAAGACCTAAGAGGTATTTCTTCAAACTCGTTTTCCCAGCGCGATCCTGGCCAAGAAGCAAAATTCGACCCCGGTAGACATTCACATATCCATCTCTTAGGGCCATTTCATATATAGCCTGTGCATCATGTCCCCGGGCTCGTATTTCTGCTGGAGCTATAACTGTAAAGCAAAAACAGTGAATTCTTTTAAAACTTATATTCCACTTTTTAGTAAAACTGCCACGCTTGACAGCGATTTGTTGAAAGCTTACGAAGAGTCGCGAAACTTGCCCCTCACCATACAAACGTCTGTAAATAGGCCATTTCCGAGTTCCCCCGCGCCTCTGTTTCAAAACGAGGGTAAGTGCTCAGCCTTTGATATGGAATTCGTTTTTCATTCTCATGCAAATAAAACTTATTTTCACAAGAAAGGTTGTGCACCTAGCCTCATTTTGAAAGTGAGGGTTTTTGGAACTCGGAAGTGGTCTATTATGCCAACTGAATTTGCGGAGCTATATCTTCGCTCGCTAAAGACGTATCACTTTCACATTTGGCAAATTTACTAATTTTAAGGTGCTTTTTCAGTCGAAGCTCTCCTTGCGACCATATTCGACATTCGTGAAACACCATTTGAACAGTGGCTTAAACTTTGTAATGAAAAGCTCTCGTAAGCGACCGTTCCCATACGTGACAGCGACCCCTTTTGCGATTACCCAACTGGACTTTTCTTTCTTTTCTCGTAAGCGACTACTCAGCCACCACTCAGAGTCTTTTTCATATAAATCAACACTTAAATGAAACGGCACACTGCGTTAATGGTCAAAAAATATTGGGCGTAAAGTTAAGCCTTGTCCGTGTCTGTGTCTATATCAGATATAAAGACACTCGTTAAAGATTTATTTATTTTGATTTTTCTTGATGAATTATTAATCAGTTTCTGAAGCTCTCGTAAGCGACCACCCTCTTTTGTCTTGACCATGAGGACACTTACGAGAGCTCATTCTCGTAAGCGACCAGCTCTAGTTACGACTACTTTTTCGACTTTCTGAGGTGGTCGCTTACGAGAGCTTCGACTGTATTAGGGATAGGTGAGTAGCGCAGTACCGTTGTATATTTTAGGGGTTGGTTGAGGAGTGGGAAGCGGAAAGCGCGGAGTTATATTGCACGCGGATTGATCGCGTTGCTTGGCTTGTTTACTTAGCTTGTTTACGTTCGCACGTATTGCGTGCCTATTGCAACTGTGAATCAAAACAAGTGATCTCGATTACTCTATTTGAGCGACGCCAAAATAATTAAGAACTAGTTTCGCAAGCGACCAGTGAATCAAGAGAGCTGATTTATATTGCGGTACAACAAAAGACACTTAAAGATACAATATACAGTTGAACCTCTCCGCCACAACGGCCAACTTAAGGACGGAAGAAAGTGGCCGTTGTGGTGAGGTGGCCGTTATGGGGAGGTAGGGGTGTTACATGACATCTGTTTTTGTTTGTTTGCTTGTTCGTTGTTGTTTTTTTCGGGGAGTACAACATGTTTATTTTGTAAAGTTTATGCTTACTGTAACCCTTAATGGTGATATAGATAGAATACAAAATTAAAATTTAAACGTTTCGAATAAAAATGTTAACAAGAACTCACAACTCAGTTGAGGACAAGGAAGAAAGGTGACTTTCTTGTGAGCTTGTATTTGCCGGATAAAAATTAGCGACTACGACTCGAAGTTTAAAAACAAAGGAGAAAACTATAAATGTTCCCAACCGTCTCTCAGCGTGAGGTGCATGTTTTAAGTGTGTTCTAAATACAAAAAAGTACTGTATGACATTTAATTTAAAATGAATAGAGAGAATTCCCGCGATCGATCATCGACACGCCATACGGATCAATTTCTTGTGAGCATTATTGACTTTTTCGTCAATCGCTGAGAAAACGGACCGTTAAAAAAAAAAGGAAAATTTGGCGAGAAACAGTTTTATTGCTGATGACATGTGATCTCGAAGTAGCCTACGAGAGTACGCGTTGATGGGGAGAGATTCCAGCTATACCAATATGTAATATTCTAACAAGGACTACTATGCTTTATGATTACTTGCAAGCCAAATCTCCTGTGCAGCATTGTGCATAAACAACCGATTACAACCTAACTGCAGTTACGTCTTTTCATTACCTACACTCGGACTCACCCGCGATGTCTATCCAAAGACTTTGCCTCCTCTCCACAAGCTCCATCAGACTTCTGACTTCTTCAATCCTAAGAGGGTTGCCTTCCACACTTAGCCTCTCAAGACGTATCAGGTCACTTGTGTCCTGAACGACACTTTTCAATTTGTTATTCCTCACATCCAATTCTTGCAGTTGTTGAAGTTGTTTGATAGCTCTAGGCAACAGTGTCAGTTGGTTGTCATTTGCAGACAAGTCTTTCAGGTTAATAAGATCACCAATCAGTTCAGGAAGTTCTATCAGCATGTTGTGGCTCAAATCTAACTTTGTAAGGAGACGGCGATTGACACCATATAAATTTTCTGGAAAGCTTAACAGGCCGATATGAGAGAAGTCCAACACCCCCGACTTTTTAGCTGCATTTGTTCGTTTTTGTAGCAAAGCAGGGTTTACAGCACTCTTCCCTACAGAATATAACAAAATGTGATAACGAGTTAAAGTAAACAGTCATATGATACCGGCAGCTAAGCAGTTGCAAAGAGCCTAAAAAAATCAGGCTTACGAACATTCCAGCACCTCCGGCAAAAAGAGCAAGTCTCGAGGAGGAGTCACTAACACATTTCTCTATATTCACAATCTTATGCAAGTCTCGGAGCGTCTAACTTCTATACTGCGCCTATGCAACGGCGTTTTCACAAGTAGGTCTATTTTTAGATAAGCCTTTCCCGCATTCCTTTCGAAAAGCCAATCACTAGCAATTGCGTCATCAATGATAAACCTTAAATACGTAACTAGGACAACTCCTTCACATTGAAACACACGTAAGGAATCTTCAGAGGAGTCTTCTGACAGTACTTCAAGCGACAATTTCAGTATTTACACGGAAACTAGCAGTTCAGAGCAAGATTTGCAAAACCTAGCCAGGACTTGTACTTCATCGGCAACAACACATAATTCACGCAAAGGGAATTAAATCGAAATCATCTTCGAAATAGCCGACCTTGACAAGGTGCAAGCGAGCTACTAACAGTCTAAACGACGATCAAATGGAGGAATTGGCCTCGTGGAACAGTTATTTTTCGCGGGAAAAGTTGATCTAAAAATAAACTCACTTGTAAAAACGCCGTTGCACGAATTTATGGCAGTTGAACGCTCCGGGTTATGGGCTCCTGGTAGAGTGCCCAGAGGTATGGGAAAAATGAAATGCCAGTTGAAAAGTTATCTTTCTGAACTAGACACTGGAAAACTGCAAAATCATTTTTAAAACTGCAAATTCTTAAGCAATGTGAAAAAGAAAAAAAAACGCTCCAAGGAACAAAAACAAAAGAGAAAAAGTTTACCTGAAGAACCTTTACAGGATGATGTTCCTGGGGTACTGGGAACCTGTGCCTTATCAACAGGGGATCCCACGCTGCCTACGTCAGAAGATTGACCTTCTCCAGGTGTATTTTCTTTTTCCACACGATTTCCCAAATCGGTTCCCATGGGAGATGAATTGGCCAATGTCTGCGGGCTTCTGCTGTCTCTGTTTTCCAGACGTTCTGTTTCAGTAGTTCCAGCCCGTGACGTTCTTAAAGAAATAAAAACATCAGCAGCTCGTTTGCTGCTGTATTGCATCAAATCCATCTCCAATCTCCTTAGCCTACGATTATAAGATTCTCGACAAAGTATTCTCCCTTGTTTTTGTCCGGTCACGCGACGGTCCAGGAGCGATAAGACAACGGCTGCGAGGGCGATTACGAACATGGTGACTTAACCGGAAATGCTCCGGTGAAAATTGGCCGAGATATTTTCATTAGGCATGATTGATGCTTCAACTGCGATAAGATATCTGCCTACCTAAAATGTTGGTCTAACGTTCCTATTTTTAGTCGTTCTGGGGTTGTCAACAAATTTCTATTATTGTTTCTTTGGACAAGACTAGATGAGTAAATTTATAGCACAGTTACTTAGTAACACCAATGTAAATGTTAGGAGCTTATTAATAACTCATGAGCTGCCATGATACGTTGACATTACACGCCCATCATGTCTGATTGTATAGAACGTTTTCACATGACGACACGGCGGCCATTTGGAACTTCCAAAACATAAAACGGCGGCTATTTTGGTGTTGAACTTCCCTCATGTAAAACGTCCTTTTGTCCCCACAAATTTGCCCTATATCTACTCTAAGTATTGTGACCACTGGCGAATCCCAAAACAAGGGCTTGAGAATTCAACAAAACTCAAGAGACATAGTTGATTGAAAGTTTGAAATTGTTGACAACTTTTACTTGGCAATGAAATTTGATTCTTCATTGAACCATCTGGTTCAAAATGAAAAAGATACTTCTTAAGGGCGATATAACTAGTGTTTCTTTCCGCTTAACATTTGTATTAGGCTTATTTCATTTCACTTTATCATATTTCCGTATTGTTCACTAAACAATGATATTCGTAATATAGGTGTGTCACCTTGGTGTTGCTGTTCCGACATTGATTACACTGCAGTCACCAACACTGGCATTTCCACCAGACACGTTGATACTGTAACTACTTTCACCAGCGGAGGGAAGCTGGGGCTGAACACTATAAAAAAATCAAATTATGAGATAGCAGTCAGATACAGTCGCAATAGGTAACAGCGACACTGCTTTGCATCGAAGGTTGATTTCAGTGAAAAAAGTTTGGGTATTTTGGGTGTTTACCGTATTTTTTTTTACCACTAACTAGCATATAAAAAAAGACTTGTTAATGTAAAAATGTTTACAATTTTCTCAAATTAACAAATATATTTTATTTAAATGCTTCACGCGGCCACAAAACAAAGCAGTTAACTCCGTAGCATCTGTCTTCGAACACTCAAAACTTTGAGAAAGATGAATACATGAAAACTGAAAAAGATAATTTTTCAATCTGTGACAGAGGCGATTCGGAAGAAAAAATCCGAGTATTCCCAACTAAAGAGAAGAACTTATAATCTTCTAGTTACTAGTCCTGAAGATGCTCTACAACTGAGCTACAGGATACTCGTGGGAACTAAGGCCTCTAAACTAATAGGTTTCTTTACAGTTAATTTCCAAAACATTTCGACAAAATTACCATATGCAATGGCTACAAAGTACTAAACTGCATACAGTGAAAATGGAAATACTTGCTTAAACTTTAGGAAGTTTCTATTGCAATTCAGCTCGTTTCACACACGCATGAACATTCCTCCCACAACCGCTTCCAAATTTCTGAATTTCACAAACGAAAAAAAAAAAAATGAAATAAACATGACGTCACAAATGACTTATGATAAGATCGTACACTAACCCAGCAGGAGTCACAGCTGATTGTCCCACATGAAGCGCACTTTGAGTTCCAATCGCTGCATATCCACCATTGCCAACTTTAGTGTGGTATTCATTTTTAACTGTAACTTGTGGTGTTGTTACATACATTACTGAAACAACAAAATAGTATCAGCTACAAACAGATTTTGATTCAAGTCAGGGTCGATTTTCACTGCTCTCTAGGGTCCGGTCTAGTTCCTTCTCTTTTCGGGGGAGAAATCTGGACTCATTTCCCGAACAGAGGCTGGAAGTCCGCTAACTTAGTCATTGCCAATACATCGGCTGAGGCCAATTTATTAACCTGTGGGGTTCTCACTCACTTTCAAAGCCGCCATTTCACACTAAAACAGTCTAGCAATGCTCGTTTGCTACACTTATGAAGGCGAAAATTCTGCAGCTGACCCTCGAATCCCGCGTTATCTTGAAACAAAATTGATTTCTCCTGCATTTCCCCCATACTTTTTTCGTAATTTTACCCTCAATATACGGCAAACGTCTAATTCAAGATGAGAATTTCTCAAGATAGAAAATGAGCAGATAAAAACAGCTCAAAACAATTCTTATAGATACAAAACTGCGTGAAACTACTAATTTATGTGCAGAAATAATGAACAATAAACGACAATTAAAGTGGAAACTTGGTCACGTGGTAAAAATTCGCGTTTGCCGTTTGAGGTGGCTCGACTGGATTTTTTTGAGGGGATACCTCCGAAGTTTGAGCATTAACTACGTCGCCATGAGTAAAGATATGGGAAAAAGATTACCACAACTGTATTATATAACGATGAAAATTTCTTATGATCTGGGTTTTATTGCAATCGGAGTCGCCATGGCAACGTAACGACGCCATTACGTTTTTTATTTATCTTTGTATTTCTCTGTACCAAGAGTTTTTTTAAGAAATCGCTTAAGGGAGTATGTACCTGCCATAATTGCCTCAATTATGTCAAAGTTTGAACAAATTCTATGAGAGCGTTTTCGAGATATTTTGGAACGAAGTTTTAAGCATCATAAAAACAGTGAAATAGCATGCTATCCACACAATTAGCTAATTTTTTAAGAAAATGATAACCTTTGGAAACGCGGCTTCAACTTCTCTCTTCCCTCCCCCTCCCCGCTCCCTTTGCCTCGCCCCATCTCCTCCTCTCTTCGGAAGATTCAACATGGCACTTTCACGAGCAAATTGCGCGCTCAAAGAAAACGCCTGTACTGCAGGCTACGATTTAAATAAAATGGCAGGTTTGGAGGTTTTTTTTATTATTTGGTAGATCGCGTTTTACAGCGATGCTTTAAGCCACACTGTATCAAATTGGGAGTTCGTGATTTTGTGTCTAAGTTTGCGGAAAGAACAGAAGAGAGCACTCTGTGATTTTATTAATAAATGATCGATCAGGACCTCTAGTGTGTTTTATATTGAGCAGATTTTGCATTTTAAAGTTTGCCAGCAAGATATAATCGTTTAAATGAGCAAAATCTGTCATCCCTGAAATTAACGCCTTATATCGTCTTATAAAAGCGCTCTTTTAGAATACCGCTTAATACATAACACACTACAGTCTACCAAGTTTACCACTCTGCAGTGCCAGTTCGTGAAGTTTTGTACCTGCGCTGAATTCTTGGACACAAAATTGTCGGAAAACTCAAGTTTTGAGACTTCTGAAGGCGTCCCGACTACTAAGAGAGTGCTGAGCAAGGCATGCCTAATTATGGTAACTAGTAATAGTTGACACTACAGCTGCCTCCGCTCTGTATATTGTCGGTCAATAGCATTTTTGCTCGTTGTGTAGCTCTTTGAAATATACCGATTCATGAGGAAGATTTTCACACATATTCCATACAACAGGTGAAATAAATACAGGAAACGCAAGGTTCCATGCCAAGTTTCAGGTAGATTTACAAAGCTTTGATCAAAACATTCTCAGTTTCGAGAATAGTTTATTCTAAACCGTAAGAAAAGATTTAATTAGAAGTTGAATTTTTCGGTATTTCTCTTTCAGTTTTTACATTCAGTTCATTTTATTTGCCGGAAAGGAGGCCTTAGAAATTAAAAGGACGTTTGATCAATTCACACTCGCGCATTCTAGTATTATTTTA